TACAAAATGTAATAGTGTTTGGAAGATTGATTTAAATATTCGCATTAATGACGTCAAGCCTCGATTGCTATTCGTACTTCAATTGTCGTAATAGCAATTACTCTGTACATAAGAAAAAGGCATTTCAACATAATGTGTTCACATCATTATCGTTATGTAGCTTTTGAAAATGTGGTGGAACCTTATTTTATTCTAATCTAATCTTATTATTCATTATTTATAAGTAATACTTTCGTACTTCAAATGTCGAAAAAATTACTCCGTACAAGCTTCGACATTGCTTCTAAGTGAACAACGAGAAACTCATCAGTCTTTTGAGAGCAGGCCGCCATGTTCTTTTTCCGAGTCATTAACAGATTGGTACTCTGGTATTTGTGACTCAGGTAATTGCAAATTACAAGCTCGCAATTGATCGGTATGACGTCTCCATATCCGTCCGTCATCAGTTTTAACATTACAGGAAACCGGACTCGTTTGCTCCACAATTTCCGCTTGTCTCCACGACCTTGTTCTGAAATCCTTAGCCATTACGGAGTCATTTTCTCCGAACGTAATTGTACGGTTGCCCTTGAAGAATCATTGCTGATCCCTCTGCTTTGACTCTATTCTTTTTCTAATATCGGGTTTAATAATATCTAATCTGGTTCGCAAACGCCTATTTAACTGTAACTCTGCTGGTGACTTTTCGGTAGTACAATGAGGTGTCACTCTATAGTGAAATAAATATTTACATAACGCATCCTGTCTCGTATAGTCTTTTTAAGTAACAATTTAAACTTTCTTTTAAACGTACGTACAGCGTTCTCGGCCGCTCCGTTAGATGCAGGATGGTATGGTACTGTTTTAGTATGCTTAATAGCATTCCGCGATACGAATTCTTTAAACTGTTCGCTCGCAAACGCAGGACCATTATCCGAAACGATCTGATATGGCACTCCCCATGTACTGGTATATTCTTTCACCGCTCTAATTGTAGATTCCGCTGAGATATCTTTCATCTCCTTAATATCAATTCATTTTGAATAAGCGTCTGTTATAACTAAATATATATGGCCCCCTATTGGTCCATAAAAATCTAAATGTATACGATGGTTTGGCCCTTGAGGCCATTTCCAAACATGCAATGTACTTTTAGGAGGATCATCGGCGCTCTCTAAGCACCCTTTACAACTTTTAGTGATCTCCTCTATATTCTTATCTAGACCTGGCCACCAAAAATAAGATCGAGCTAACGCCTTCATTTTAACTACCCCTAAATGAATTCCATGCAACTCCACAAGCAATTCCGCTCTTAAGGACGGGGGAATAACAACGCGATAACCCCACATTATACATCCATCCTCCACCGATAACTCTAAACGACGACTCTTAAAAGGTTCAAAACATTTTTCTACTTTATCAGGCCATCCCTGCATAACAAAATTTCTGACTTTACTCAAGAGAGCATCTTTGCTAGTTCCCTTACGAACCGCCTTACTATCCAAATTTTGCAATTCTTCACTTATTGCCTTTAAATAATTATGAACCTGTAAATCTTTTGAATCAGTCGCTTGACTAGTATCCTTCATACTAACTCTCGATAAACCATCGGCAGGACCGTTATCTTGACCTTTAATGTACTTAATTATAAAATCATAACTTGCTAAAATCACTGCCCATCTTTGTACTCGATTAGCCGCCATCTGTGGAATACCTTTCTTCGGACCAAAAATATATGTAAGCGGTTTATGATCTGTTTCCAAAATAAAATTACGTCCATAGACATACTGATGAAATGCTTTTACTCCGAAAACAAGAGCTAATGCTTCTCTATCCAACTGCGAATAGTTTCTTTGAGCTACTGACAAAACCCTTGATGCATAAGCTATCGGCCTATCCGATCCATCTGGGAGAATATGCGACACTACCGCCCCCAAACCAACAGGAGACGCATCGCACGTAATCTTCAGGGGATAATCTGAACTATAATGTATCAAAATCTCCCTAGATGCTAAACGCTCTTTTGCCTTTTTAAAAGCTAACTCTTGTTCCTTTGCCCAACACCATTTCTTATCTTTCCTAAGAAGTTTATACAATGGGCTCAACAAATCAGAATAATCTTTAATGAATTTTGAGTAATAATTAATCATACCCAGAAATGACTTAAGTTCTGTCAAATTATCAGGTTTTTTCATATTCACTATTGCGTCAACCTTTTTACTCGACGCCTGTATGCCCTGTGCATTTAACTCGAATCCTAAAAATTTTATATTACTTTGTGCAAACGCACACTTGTCTTTACTTAGCGTTAAACCACAATCTTGTAACCTTTTCAAAACACACGTTAAATTTCTATCGTGCTCTTCACGAGTAGCTCCTGTAACTACTAAATCGTCGAAGAAAATAGCCACTTTATCCAAATCCTGAAAAATTATATCCATTTCACGCTGGAATAACCCTGGTGCTGACGCTACACCATAACTTAAACGATTACTTTTGAATAACCCCTTATGAGTTGCTATTGTGACAAGTAACTTTGATTCCTCATCCAACTCTACTTGTTGATAAGCCTGGGTTAAATCCAACTTGGTAAATACCCTTAGAACATATATAAATGGAACGGGCATTGCCTATACTTCCCATGGCTCGCGCTGATGCAAACATCTGTGCGAGAGAGAAAGGTAGTAAGGGATAAATGTTCTCAATGCGCATGCGTCGGTTCCGGTGTTCCTTATTCAAGTATCGCGTATGGAGGGTCGGGAAATATAATAGAAGTATTTACTATCAATGAATCGAAAAATTTGTATGAAATGAATACGTAGTGTGAAGTAAAAATATTTTGTGTGAAAAAAATAATTGAGAATATACTTGAACATTTGTGTAAAAATTGAACGTAGTGAAATACATTATGTGCAAAATGAATGAGATATGTACAATGTACCGTGAAATACAGATGACAGTAAAAAGTAGACATGTTAATACTTGTGACAAATGGAATTCTTTAAAATTATGTATTGAAATAAGTTATTTGAAATTATGTAAAATATAAAATGTCATTACATTAGTTATTGCAATTTGGGGCATTTATAAGGATACCATCAGGTGGGAAATGAATTCGGGGAGTAGGCTCAGCTTGGCTTAAGCTTTAATTTAAAGCAGTTATCTTATAACAATTATAAAAATGCATAATAAAAAAAATTATATAAATTAAAAAATATTGTTATCCTATACTGACAATTATGATTCAGTAATTTATTTATATTCCAGAAAATTCTGTAAAATTTTATACTTACGTCAAATAATATTGTAATGTAATTTATTATACATGACGATGTCTGTGATCAAAGTCTCGTTACAAAAATACTTTGAGTTAATAAATATGAAAGGATGTATACACATTCAATATGAAATAAGTATATATTTATTGATGCTTAAAATGTATTAACTTAGTGTACATGTGTCGCACGTTCTCTTTCTCCTCTGCCGAAGTCGCAGAGTTGCCTATGTGATACAATCGCATATTCAAATACGTCAGTATAATCGTTTTTATTAACGCTGTTTTATGATCGTTCATAAATTCTTGACCTAACGTATGGTGCGTCATTTCGTCATTGTTAAAAACGTCTTCATAAATTCTTTGAAACGCTTTCATGCCCAACACATTTTTTACATTCTTAATATTTAAAAAACTATCTTGATATTCGCGTACAATCATTTCGCACGCAGGGCCGTATCTGGGTATAAAGTCGCCTGCGTGTAAGCTTGGTACTAGGCGCCTCCCCCCTCCCCTCATATTACATAAAGCAAAAAATGCTGTATATAATGTGATATAAATGTTTTATTTAAGAAATATAACATACCTATTTGTCTTTTTTAAAATTTATATGAGCAGTCTTTTTTTTTTTAAATCAATAACAAACATATATCTATAACATGTTAAACAAATATTATAAAATATACAATACATTATAATACATTATATATATTATAATTGAATAGTAATTAAATATTTACGCGCCTTGCTTTTAAGTTAGCGAAATCATTAATAATGTCGTTTATATCTAAAGAATCACATAGTGAAGACTCAATCGAAATTAAAGCTAAATCGGATAATTTATCTTGCCCCATTGTACTTCGTAGGTAGTTTTTAATCAATTTTAATTTAGAGAAAGATCTTTCCACCGAGGCAACCGAAACTGGTAAAGTTAACAAAATTCTTAATGCTATCACCAAATTTGGAAATACAAGTTCGAGCTTTTCAGAAATTAAATATTGCAGTACTTTTTCTGGATTAGATTGTTCTATAATTTCATTGACTTTGAGAGTTTTAAGAGCTACAATTTCATCATATAATTCACTTCCATCTATATCTTTTTCTTCTCTATTACTATCAGTTAGTTTAATATGAAGATCCGAACAATGTTTTTTTAAGTCATCATTAGAAATTTTATGCATATTATATAAAAATGCATATTAAAAAAAATGTTGTGTTCCTGGTGCAATTCAAATCTTTCTTCTAATAAATTTTTTATTGAATCCAAAATTTGATAATAAAAATCAACTTTAAAATGCTGTTTAGGATCAAGAGTAACATCATCTACGGCTTCATATTGAAATTGCTTCTTTTTTTTTCTTGGACGGATAAAATTAATTTCTGGAAATGTGTGCTCTACTTCTATTTCATTGGCTAATGTTTGAGCTTTTTCAATAAAAATATTAAAATTTTCGTCGCTCCTTTGCTCCTCAATATATGTAATCAAATTATTGAGTGATCTAAAGGAATGACTAATATTTGAATTTGTATTCTGCAACATTTTGCTAACAGCATTTATTTTAAAAAGCAAATCATGCCAAATGATTAGTGACAAAACAAATTTAAATGATTTGATTTCACTAATAATTGAATATGCCATGTGTTTTGTATTTTGATCGCGTGTTTGATCGTTGATAATTTCTATTAAACTATCATAAACTTCATCTAACTGAGAAATTAAAGGATAAATTGCTTTAATTCGGCTTTCCCATCTCGTTTCACTCACTGATTTAATTGTTAAAGAAGTTACATTTTTTTTAAGTATTGCCCAGCGATATGGAGAAGTTGAGAAAAAATTATAGAGTTCCTGAATTAAATTGAAAATGCTTATTATTTCGTTAGTTACCTTTGCTGCATCATTAACTACTAAATTTAATGTATGCGCTGCACATGGAATAAACATTGCCCTTGGATTAATTTCTAAAATTCTTTTTTGTAAGCCAATATTCTTTCCTCGCATATTTGAGCCATTGTCATAGCCTTGACCACGTAAATTATAAATACTTAGATCAAAACTAGGCAATAAACTTTTTGTCACATAATTGAAAAAATGTTCTCCAGTTGTATTTAATAGCGGAAAGAAGCCCAAAAATCTTCCACAAATTTCTACTTTACAATTTAAAATATTAACATATCTTATGACACAAGTCATTTGTTCAATGTGACTAACATCAGGGGTTGTATCTAAAATAATTGAAAAGTACTTAGCTTGTTTAATTTCTTTGGTAATATAAGTTTTCATTGCTTTTCCAAGTAAACATATAATTTCGTTTTGAATAGTTGGACTTAAATAATATGGCATATGTGTATTTGAAATTGTAGTCTTCTTAATATTGCTAACATGTTCCATAAGAACCGGATCAAATTTAGAAATCAACTGCCTTTAAAAAGTTTCCATTATTTTGTTCAAAAAGTTTATTAGATTCACCCCTAAAGGACAAACATTGAGTAGCTAAAAATTTTATTATTGCAATCACTCTATCGATAATTAAACGCCATCTTTTCTGTTCAATTTGATATAACATTTGTTGGTTTTTATCAATTGTTAAATTTAATTTTAATTCTCAGTTCTAACCACGTGGTTATATTTTTAAAATGTAAGAAACTTTTTTCATGTCGAACTAAATTAGTGGATAAGTGTTTCCAATCATTATATCCATACTGATTTGTTAATGCACTATTTCCAGGTTTACCAAAAATTCTACATACAAAACAGAACACACTATCTAGCCTTGTAGAATAAATTAACCAATCCCTTCGAATTTTTTCTTTATTTGGAAGCACTCGCTGATAATAAGTATTTGAAAATTTACCATTAACTGAAGTTGGAAAAACTTTATTTAAAATTTGAATAGGGCCTTTTTCTACAATTAAGTCTATTTGTTTGTTGTTTAAGCATATTGGCCGATTCTTCTATGTCAAAATAAGTTGTGCCTAAATTCTTTACAGATTGTATAGGAGCTATGGAATCTATGCAATTGCCTAAATCTGATTTTTGCTCTTGTTCTTGCTCTTGTTCTTGACGTTGAGGTATATATGTACATGAGGTACATGAGGTATACTAGCAGTACTCGATGTAGGAGAATACTAAACGTCCGTTTTATAATTAGGAACATTCGTTTCGTTATCAGTTTTTAGAAATTTGTGCAAACTTCCAGACAATTTTTCTTTCTCTATTTGCTTCGCTAATTTACGTTTTAAATTTGCAGCTCCAGAGAGCTTTTTTCCCAACATTCCTAAAATTTGTATTATAAAGAGATTAATATAAAAAGAGCAGATATTAAATTTAAAAAATTTGTATTATATAAGTTACATAAAAGCCTATTATAACTACTTTACTTTTAGAAAACATAGTCGATACTTTTAATACAAATCGGCAGAAAATCGCTTTCCATTTACAATTTGATTCAATATTCTTTGACTTTGCTCGGGAGGAGAATATATTTTATATCGTATTCAAACAAGCAATTTCTGAATGTATAATTATTAAATAAAATTTACTAACCTGAGCCTTAACGTGGAGTTTTTCAAATAAGAAACACAAATACTAGTGACACTAATCTAGTGTATTTATTATAATATATGTATCGCATAAATCGTAAATACATATAGTTCACGCTGTAGTTTTCGCTGCCATGAACAGTGAGAACCATAACCATAAAGCGTCTATCTTCTTCTTCTTGCCTTTTCTGGCCGGGCAACCTAACAGGTTGGAACTAGGCCACTGATGTCCGCACATCTGGCTTAGACAAAACTATTGGGGGGAGAGATATAGAGGGGGCCACCTCTTTGACCGTGCGCCTGCAGCCGCTCGATAGCGAGCTACGCGCCAAAGGACAGGGAGAGGGGGAAAAGTCAGAAAAATAGCTCATTGGCTTTCATATATGCCAAGAGTAGGCGACAGATTTTGGAGGAAGGGGAAAAAAGGGCAGGGAGAAGATTTTGAGGGGAGTCTGGGAATTTATCAGCAATGAACTTTCTAATAGGAGCTGAGTTTCGATTGAATTTTTCACAATGAAAAATAAGATGATTAATTGTCTGACGAGAGTCACCGCACTCGCAGGCCGGGGAATCCACCATATTAACTCTATGCAGACTTTCGTTGATATTGATATGGTTAGACCTGATTCTATTGACATGAATTATTTCCTCTCTTGAGTGTGAAGCATCATGAAACCACGTGTGCTTGGACTGCGAATAAAAGTTCTCGTAGTACAAGGTGCCCTTAAAAGCTGAGACTGTTTCCATAATTTCTTCGGTTTGCCTCTTAGCTTGAGCAGTCGATTCTGCTAGCATATCTTCATATGGAACTCT